AGCAGTTAAGAACACTGCTGCTCTTGTAGGTGACTTGGGTTTGATTCCTAGTACCTAAATGGTGGCTCACAACTGCCCATAACTTCATTTCCAGGAAATCTGATGCCTTTTACCTCACTGGGCACCTGGCATGCATTGTACATGATGCACATACATACACGCAAACAAAACACTAATATACATTTAAAAATTCTTTTAAGAAAAGATGTACAGTCCTATATGCCAGTAATTGGAGCACTCAGGAGGTCCCAGCAAGAGAATTATAAGATCAAAGCGAGCCTTGGTTACTTAGTGAGACTCTGTGTTAAGAAACAAAACAAGGGACTCAGTGGTTAAAAGCGGCCAAGAACATAACCGGCTCTTGCAGAGAACCTGAGTTCCTTTGCCAGCACCCACATCAGGCATCTCATAACTGCCTACAACTCTCACTCTAGGGGATCAAACACCCTCTTCTCTCCTCTTTGGGCTTCTGAGAATACCTGTACCCACTTGAACCCATATGTACATACACAGATACACAAATACACATAATTAAAATAAAAAGAAAGTAAGCTTGGGAAGCCAAGCATGGTAGCATAGGCACACAATCCCTTCATTGAGGACCTGGAGGCAAAAGGATCAAGAGTTCAAGGCCAGCCTGGGCTGTCTGAGCTGTTGTCTCAAACAAAACAACAACAAACTAACTAAAACAAGTAGGGTTGTGATCTTGAGGCAGAGGCTGTTTTGCTTCTCATGGGCAAGGCCTTGAGTTCCATCCTGAGTTCTAGAAAAAAGTGTTCTTCCTCTGTTTTCAGACATACCTGTCATTCCAACACTCAGGAAGTTGGATTAGGGAGGTTGTGAGCTCAGACCAGTCATGGCTACATAGTAATATCTTGTCTCAAAACTCCCCAAATAGCCAGCTGCGGTGGTGCAAGCCTTTGATCCCAGCACTCAGGGGGCAGAGGCGGACAGATGTCTGTGAGTTTGAGGCCAGCCTGGTCTACATAGTGAGTTCCAGGACAGCCAGGGCTATTTAGAGAGATCCTGTCAGTAGGCTCAGAAGTTAAGAGCACTTGCTGCTCTTGCAGAGAACCTGCGTGCAGTTCCTAGCACCCAGATGGTGACTCACAACCACCTGTAATTCCTGAGAGGTTATGCTCAGGCATACACATAGTGTACATATGCACATAAAGGTAAAATACTCATACACACACATATACACACAAAACAGTCTTTTAAAAGAGGTATCCAAGCAGTGTATGCATGTGTGGCAATTTGTTTTCCTTTGTTTTGAGACAGGGACTAACTTTGTAGCAAGGAACTCACTGTGTGGCTCACAGTAGCCTGAGATTTGCTATTTTCCTGACTCAGTATGCTGAGTGCTGGGATTATAGATGCGAACTACCATACCTGGCATCGAAAGACAGTCTTTCAAATGTCATACATACAAATATATACACATATGGGAGGTGGAGGCAGTGTCGTAGCACGTTTGATCCTGGCTGGGGTCATTGAGAATTTCAAGATGGCAGCAAAGACATTGTCCTATCCTTACCTTGCCTGTTTCCTGCAGGTGTATGTTAGACCTGTACAGGATGGATGTTGCAATCCAGTAAGGAGGCATTAAATTGTCAGTTTCTCTGCTTTACATTTCTAAAGCAGATGGGATGGACCCCACCCCACCCATGAATCTCTCCCTGTAGTACCTAGTTCTTCATTCATTGTTAAAGATTTATTTTATAGACAGCACATGGAAGGAGTTAGAGGGACAAAAGGGGAAATGATGTAATTATATCATAATCTCAAAAAAATTAAAAAGTTGGGGGCTGGAGAGATGTCTCAGCAGTTAGGAGCACTGACTGTACTTCCAGGGGAACCGGGTTCAATTCCCAGCACCCACATGGAAGCTCACACCTATCTGTAACTCCAGGATCCAACATCCTCACACAGACATACATACAGACAAAGCACCAATAAAACAAAAAATTAAAAAGTTATGTAAAAAGAATTATTATTATTATTGTTGGTGGTGGTGGTTTTTCGAAACAAGATTGGTGCCTATCCTGGAACTAGCTCTTGTAGACTAGGCTGGCCTCAAACTCACAGAGATCTGCCTACCTCTGCCTCCCAAGAGCTGGGATTAAAGGCGTGCGCCACCACCGCCCGGCAAGAATTATTTTAATATGTGTGTGTTTACCCAAAGAAAACTAAAAAATGGCATTGAGTTACAGAGGATGTCAGCCACCGCGCGGGTGCTGGGAACAGCAACTCTTAACTGCTGAACCATCTCCAGCTTTGCTATTTTTGCGGGGACTGAGAGCTCAATACATGGTTTCTTTGGGTAGCCCTGGCTGTCCTGGAACTAACTCTGTAGATCAGGCTGGGTTTGAACTCAGAGATCGACCTGCCTCTGTCTCCCAAGTGCTGGGGTTAAAGTGCCTGACTTCCAACCTTGCTTTTATCTCTTATCTAAAGTTTCCAGGTTGCCTTTTCTTCTCCTTTTCACTTATTTACTATTGGGTGTATATGCAGACGCACACATGGGGAACTGCACATGACAGCATGTGTGGGGAAGTCAGAGACAACTTTGACCAGTCTCCTTTCATATTTACATGGATTCTGGGGGTTGAACTCAGATCTTCAGGTATACACTGGAGGTGTATATCTTATCCAACTATTTATTTACTTAAGTTTTTTATTATTTTGCTTTATGTGTATGTCTCTCTGTGTCTGTGTATGCACATGTAGGCGCAGGTGCCTGAGGAAGCCAGAGGTGTCAGATTATCCTGGAGCTGGAGTTACAGGTGGTTAGGAGCCACCCATCCTAGGTGCTGGGAACTGAACTAGGATCCTCTGTAAGAGCAGTATGTTTTTACCACCGAGCATCTGTCAAATCCTTAATTTTTTTCTTAAAAAAACTATTTATCTTTATTCTAAACATATTGTGTTTTGCTTGCATGCGTGTCTGTATGATGATGGCAGATCTGGAACAGGAGTTACAGATGGTTGTGAGCTGCCATCTGTGAGGTGATGGGAATTGAACTCAGATCCT